ATATTAAAATTGCCCTCAAAGTATGCGAATATTGACCTCACATTTGACTTTAAAATGAACCGGGATTTGCCAACGTGTAAGAACCTGACTTCCGGAGCCAACCTCGAAATTTTTAAGTGTTTTGTTCGATTGACATTTCTCATACATATTTAATATTTATGAACTTGACAGTATATTGAGCTATAATTATTATAGAAAAGCTGGCTTAATTTAATGATTTAACTATAACAGAAAAAAATAGTGGATTTTATTACTTAAAACTTTAAATATGTAATCATGCATTTAATATGTACCATAACAAGTTGTATTTTCTTGGGCCATTCTCATGCATACCATACCATTCCAATGATTTTACATATCTAACACCTAAATTTTGATCTTTTTGCATTTATAATATCGAAATCTTTCATATCATATAAAAAACAAATAAAAAAAAAAAAAACACTATCACTAACATTTAAAAGTGTGATGCACTTTTTTGACTGCGGCTATTGTGACCAACTACGATCTACACGACTCACAACTCTTGCAATTCCCTACTACGGCATTTGTGACAAACTAATACTTCTGAAACAATTATCTACTACCAAGATGACTAATTACTACTATAAGTTTCAACTACAACATCGACGACAAATAGACACTGCAATCACCATCTACAACATTTATGTCAGATTATTGTTTTTATAGCAATCGACTACGGCCTTGGCGGCTCGTTACAACTATTATTGCTAAAATACAGTTGTACATCAACTTTGTAATTTTATCTTCCTTAACTTGAAAAAAAAAAAGTAGACACGTGTGCTTACCATTACATGGTGAATTATTTCAACTGGTTAGACCTCATTGTTTTTTTCCCCCTTTTCAGGATTTTCCACATAAAAACTTATATTGTCCCTACCCATCACTTTAATTACTTGAGTGCGTACAAAAATAATAAATAACCACTCGATCTACCATCGCAAACCCTCTGTCAGGCATCAGTACCACATATCACACAATTCCAATGAATTTACATATCTACCAACTAAATTTTAACTTATACATTTATAATATTCAAATCTTTCGTATCACATAAAGAAAACACGATCACTAGCATTTAAAAGTGAAGTGCACTTTCTCATGCCTGATAAAGTGGTATGAATGTAAATATGAAAGTTAGTATTTTAGACATGTCAACACATAAAAATTGTATGGCACGTATAAAAATCTTCTTTTGTTTCCAAATAATAAATGGTGGAATAATATTCACCATGCATCAGCTTTCGTGCAAATGATATGTATATGATGAACGGTGATCAATCATTTCTCAAATTAGTTATAAATAGGCCATAAGTCATCACCCACCTTGAAGAGTGAATATGGTTCTTCAGCATTATCTTTGTACATTTAATTGACTTTTATTCCCTCACCTATGTAATTCGTTAACATGTTGTAATTATGGGTCTGTTTGGGGCAACTGCAGCTTATTCAATAATCTGCTGATAAGCTGATTAAAAATAATCTGCTGATAAGCTAGGTGAGGTGGCTATTAGAAGTTTTTATTCTTTTTTTGGAAAATTCAGATCGCTGCCTGAAAACTGTCACCACACCTACTGTTAAAATTCTGCTTTCAACATTCTCAAAACGCATAAGCTGCCAAAATGCAGTGCACCCAAACAGTCCAGGTGCATTTTCAGAACTCCACCGCACCAAATAAGCCGCCCCAAACGAACCCTATATAAAAAATAAATTTCTTCCTTCATAAAACTCCTTTGTGTTATACTCAAGAAAACAAAAAAAATATTATGTGTACATATACATTGTGGCTACCATTTACTGGGAAATAAGAGGGATTAATCAAACATATGGGCTTGCGCCAATTGGATGACAGATGAGTTAGCCTTAATTGAAAGTGCTCTTCTGTTATCGAGAGGGTCCTGAAATCCCAGTTCTTAAAGTCCTTATAAAATGAGGGCAAAATCTCTGGGTCGTGTCTTATCTATTATCTCACCCGCCTTTTAAAAATTTGACCTGAAAACTTAACTAGCCATTGTGAGCTCTTGAACTGAGTCTAGGGTGGTATTTCAATTTTTCGGAGCCCACAACTTATAGCCCTATTAGTAGTGAACAACATTGTATCTTATCTTCCATAACTCTTAGTTATCGTCGATGGTTTCGAGAATTTCATGATGAATTACTACGTTAAAATATACTATTGTTCATTTACTTTTAAGAAAATTATCACATGTTGGCTATAGTTTTACATTTTTAACTTATATATATTTTTTAATGAGAAGTTGTTCTTACAATTAAATATACTTAGAATACTATAGCTATAGAACATTGTTATTCAACTATGTTTCTCAAAATAAAAAAAATGGGCATTTATATGCATGCCATTAAAGTTCATGCATTAAAATGTACGGAAATTTACATAAATATCACACAATTTTTTTATATTTATATATCTAACACAAAAAAATTGATATTTACAGTTATAACACATTAGAAAAATAATGATGAATCTATTTTTAACATGATATTTTGAATGATGTGTATAAGTATGAATGTTTATGTGTTAGTTATATAAATGCATGAGAATTTTGGGTATGTATGTAAATGGGCTCCAAATGTATGTTTTATTCTAAATAAATTAATGGTAATGATTTTTAATATGATTTAAAAATAAGATGTAATAGAAATAAATAGAAGAATATATATATATATATATATATATATATATATATTAAATATAAAAAGAATTTTTACACAAAGTTGGGTAAAAGAGGGTAGCTGTAACGAAAAAAAAGTGATTAAAATGTTAAATTTATAATTTGAGTGATTAAAATGTTATATTCAATATTTTTTTTTATGATTGGAATGAAAAAAAAATATCCACCAATACAAACCATCCTGAATTTATTATTTACAAATCGAACATCTCTTTTCATCCATTTTTGAATTTCTCACTCAACTATTAAAATTCGTGAGAAAATCCCAACTAATATTTTTTATTTATATCAAATTCTTAATAATTTTGTTGTGGCACACATAAATATAGTATAAAAAAAATCATATGTGATTAATTTATAAATATCAATGTTCCTCGTGTTTACATGTAATTATCTCTTGAAAGAGATGTGTTTGTGGTAGCAGTACAATTTTATTTGTTTAGATAAATTATGTTTTTATAGTTTTTTTTAAAAACTACCACTCATGACTTGTTGTGTGATAAGTTTCTAGCCGCAAAACGGACCCTAACTTTAGAGAAAAAATTGTGTACGTCAGAGAGGTTATTCATAGGGTATTGAAAGGTTATATACGTTATACCCTTATAACCTACTTATAACCTATAAATATATAAAAACATGAAGCGTGAAACTTACTAGAAAGTATAAATATGTTAAATGTAGATTACAAATAGTTTACAGAAGTACAACAAAAATATAACGTCACAATACCCCATGGATAAACTTCTTAACATAGAAACCAGACTCAAATTCTTCTCTTACTCCAAGAAAAAAAATTTTTTTAGGAAATAAGCTTTAACTGCAACACAGACCCCTGGAATATCGCGGCCACCGCCTGCTGCGAAAGAAGGAGCGTGGAGATGAAGTCGTCGACCCTTCTTCTCAAGCCACCCTTGCATCTGCCTTCTCCTTCTTTTTCTCGCCTAATTGATCGAATTTTCAACGCTCCTTCTGGCTCCCTCTTCAGCACCCAAGTGCGCTATCTTTGTCGATCGAGGAGCCCCTTCTCTGTCCATCCTCTCGCTATGGCCTCCTCCGCTCGTCCATCCTCTCAGGTAACGCAATCGATGGTTTTTCTTACCATCTATTGATCCTCTTCTCTTTCAAGTTTGAATGCTTTTTATCATCTATGTGGTTTTTTTCGGTAGATAACGTAAATTTAAGTCTGTGATTCCCTCCATGTATGATTTTTGAGAGCAGTAAATGAAAATTATTGGAAACTTTTCTTTTTTATTTGTTTGAATGCAGATTGCTGTTTCATCTGATGTTGATGGGGCTTCTGATGTTTTCCATCTGATTCACGCTCATCAGGTATGGGCAGTGGAGTATAGTTGGCTCTGGTTTGCTGCAAATTTGTTGTTGCATTTTAAGAGAAATTGGTACGAAGTATATATGGAGAATTTCAGTATGTTTAATTTGTGATATTTTGCGAGGAAGGTAAATGTTTTTTCTGCTGTTTTACTGTAAACAGAAAGTTATTTTGCACGTAAAAAATAAAAAAATAAAAAAATAAAAAAAAATAAAAAAAACTTCAGATCAACTTTTCAACTTCCACCTTTCGAGTTGCCTGAGGCAGTTGCTTTTAATTAGCAGCTCTCTCATGTTTTTATAATGCACATTCTGTGTATTGCACGGTTTTACGGAATGGAGTGGATTTGCCAATGAATTCACTATGGGAATTATCATTGGAAATAATGGAACCCTTAAGCAAATAACTCACTAAGTGCTTCTGCCAATAAATGGTTCAATGGGGGGATTGATGCATGCCGTCTTACCCGTTTGTTGCAGAGAAATTATTTTCATGATTTGATCCCAAAAAGTCGCAATAAAGCCAACCCAACTATTGCATTAGGTTCACCTCCTATTACAGCTTTACAAATAAGTCAAAAAGTAATATTTTTGTAGTTGTAGCTTGATTGCACCCTTTAAGACTCTAAAGAGTGTAAGTTATTTCTTTTCTCTTCACACACCACTTTAATCATCAATATGCATACAAGGAATAAATACATTTTTAAATTTCAATAAATTTGTTGATGGCATTTCCAATTATTGATCATACAGGACTAATGATTTCAAAATATCTTTAATATCTCTCAAATATGCTTATAGATAGAAGCTAGTTACCAACATTTCAATTGCCAATAAGAAGCTTGAGGTTGAAACACACATACATTGGATAGGTATTACAGGAACATATGCAAACTAAAAAAAGTAAAATGTTGATCAAGACAAGGGACTTCATTTTATTCAGCTGAGCTTGTTGTGATTTCACTCATATAAATTGTCAGTTGAGCGTAGCTTTACTTTATATATAACCGGCCAATTTTGGCTACCATCCTCTTCTACCATGCACATTTCTTGCTCTAACCTATTGTGTTGGGTTCATTTTTAATTTAAAAGATTGAATACAATGCTTGTTGAAGACCGTGATATGCTAATATTGTGTAATTTTTCTTTGTCTAGCATGACTAAATTTTACTTGATAGATGAATTTGTCAATCATATATTATCATCCTAGTTACAAGTCACATTCAAATGATTGGGCATAGCTATATGGCTCTGAATTCTTCTTTGACACTCTAAGGTCTCCTATCCAAATATTGCCCTTAGGCACCCAAGCCATAGAGCCCTAGTCCTGGCTCTATCACACTTGGTCAATGATTGTCTAGCTATGTCCCTAGTCAATCTAGAGGACCTTCTTTTCACTTCAGTTTGATAAGAGGGCATAACCACCCTTAGCAAGCTAGGAGAATGTTCCTTGCTTTGGCTCAAAGCCGAGCCTTTGGTTAATTAGCATGAAGCTCATTCTAACTCCTTATTAGTTGATTTATGCTCAATGTCTAACTTCGTGCCCTGCTGAGGTAACACTATAGTGGCCACCTCTAGTATAAGTCTCCCTCAATTGATCGGTTTCCAACCTTCTAGAGGTTTGTTGATGCCAAGTTGATGCCATCTTGGCTTGCAAGGTCAAAACCTGTCATTTCTTTCCCAAAGAGTACGACATCAACTCCATGTAAGTTGTCTATCACCAAATTTTAAGTGCCACCATCAACCCATCAACTTTGAACTCAAAGCTCTCTCTCTCTCTCGAACCATCCTACAAGCTTTTGAGCCCTACACCATCTGCTAACGGCTTTTGTTCTAACGGCTCTGACCATAATATTCACTGCTTGACATGGAATTCTTGACAGCAATTTATTTGTACCGTCTACCTTGGACATTCTCATTGGCAGCTTATTGGTCAGCACTCAGTCAATGTCTTTCTAGCTTTTAGTGTCACCACTTTGGTGACTGGTTTCATCTTCTTAGTGCCATACTGATGTTTATAAGCCTGACAACCTTCTCCTTGGCACTCGACATTGTCATTCCAGGCCACCTTCCACACAACAACAATAACCTTTGCGCACACTGACTAATACCATCTCCAAACATCATCTTGTTGGCCTTTGGGCTAATATCCTGTCCTAATACTCTTTGCTAACAAATTTTTTTCCACCAACTCCCATCACTTGAGGCCAATCTCTTTGTGTTTACTCCTCAGGATTATGCCTAGAATGTTATACTTGGCACTTTTCGATCAATATTTGGTTGACATCATTTCTCCTTATGGCATTTTCTCCCCACTCAACATTGTCTGCTTGAATCCTTTTTCAATCAGTGTTCAATAGATACATTCTGCTTGGCGGCATCCCTGCTTTGGTGCCTGACAACATCTCCACGATGCCATCTCTTTTGATCAGCATTTGGCAATGCCTCTCAATTCAGTGACATCCCTGCGATGCTTTCTTGACCTCATCTTTGCCATCAAGGTTTCATGTGTGAACCTTCAAGAAATTAAAAGCAAAAAAGCCAAAGCTATTTAATATCATGTAATGCATTGGTGCAATTTTGGCTTAGTACACTTCAATTTGTCTATATGACCTTAAAAAGTTGCAACACAACGAATGATATCTGGTGGATTAGTCAGATAGGCCTATGTGTCATAATTACATTGTGTAAAAAACAACATTTATGGCCTCTTCTCTTTTGATTAACGTTAAATGATAAATTTGACGGTGATGAATTTTTTCAAGCGAGCAGACTGTTATGCACCACTCTCTTATTGACTTATGTGATCAATTTCTTGTAGTTTGTCTTGTTTTCATTGTAGCAATAATTGTAACTTCTTACAGGTCTGTGTGTTTTCTTTTGTTGTTGTTTTATGCCCTTTATAGAGATTCCTCTATACAAAATTGCCTATTTTTATCCATTGTCATTGACACAATGGAGAAAAATGATTCACGTAGCCGACCCCACTTAGTGGGATAAAGGCTTGTTGTTGTCGTTGTTGCCATTATTTATTGATATTTGGTTCTTAATTGGTTAGTTTTTTTTACTGTTTACCATACTTTTCATTTGTGCTTATCCATTGAACCCATTATGCCGTTGATCCTGTATGTGATTTCATCAATGATCCAAATGGGCATGCCAACTTAAACCTGGAGAAATTAGATTCCTATAGATACAATATAATAGGTATATATGACAAAAGCTTTTGGCTTTATGGTACTTCTTATTTTGCTCAATCTTGTGCACGTGGTTGGATTCTTATTCTTTTGACGGGTACCTATTTCTGAGAAAAGTTATCTCTTTGAACTAACGAGAGTCTTGAATTTTTCTTTTTCTGGTGAATTCTTATGTATTTATTTTCTTCTACATTACCTGTGATTGATTTTCTGTGCATGATTGATTTTAGTCGATTCTTTTATAACTAAGTTTCTAGGAGCGGAATGAATTTCAATCAACTTGTTGTTTGGGTTGCTTCAAACCCTTGCTCATCATTTGGAGTTCTTTTCTCGTATTTTTGGTTTTTCAAACCCTTGCTTATCATTTGGAGTTCATTTATCATATTTTTGGTCTACATCCAAAGTAAATAAACTCCTGTATTAATTGGTCATCTTTGAATCTACGAATCTTCTATTAGTATTGCATGTTTTTCATTCATTATATCACTCGATTGCATTAGGAATTGTAATGTCTTACATCAGATCTTAGTGACCTTATATATATTAATTATATATTTATAAGCTAAATTTATTTCAGACACCTAACTGCTGTTGTGTCATTTGGTTTGGAAGATGCAAAATATGATTGTTTGCAATATTGTCTTCACCCTAAAGCTTATTTTGTTGTTAAGGATTTGTTGTCTAGCGGATAATCCAGATTATAGCTTACAACATAGTTCAAAATATTTCACTATGCACAACAAATGTGTGGAGGTCCTCTTATGATGGTTTATTGCCGTCTGGTTCCTCTATCTTCATTTAGTTGCCCCTCGATTGGCTCTTAGCATGTGTTAGTATCTAATGTAACAATGTCCCTTTTTCCTTTATATTAGTTAGATCCTTAATAACAGTATTTGGCGACCATACAATTAATTCAGTTTGTGTGTTTGTGACCATGATGGCATATTATTTCCATGGAAAATGTGTTATTAATTCTCATGGATGTTCTGCCATATAATGACTTCCATTACAGAACATTTAAGTTTGTTAAAGCTGTGGTTTCTTGCTTGTCTTTTTTAGGAGTTACTTTAGGCTACTTTTGGTATTGTTTTTGTCTGCTGTGCTTTGATGTGCCATAAAGAGATGCTATTTAATAATATGGATGATTGTTGGGTAAAATTCTGTCAAAATTGTTGTTTAAAGTGTTGTAAAAGGTTGTGATTGGTAAGAAACTAGTATGACACCGATATAAGTTAATAGAATGATCAAAATGTATGTGTAATGAATTACATATAATTGTAATATATTATTCTAGCACCTTGAGATTTGCTTCTATTTTTCGAGGAAGCAGAAATAGACTAAAAAAGATTGTATTTTTGTGTGTCAATCTTTATTGAATTTCTGGAGTTGTTACTCACAATTGCTTTATTCTAACGAAAGGCCACCGCTCCTCGTCTTCCTCCACTTGAAGAAGTTCGAACTATTCTTAATAACAGCATTCGAGGCGTGCTTTCTACATTTTCCAAGGTATTCTTTTTCATAACTCGTCTTTTCTCCATTTGTTAACTTGTAATCATGTCAACTTAACTTACGTTTATGGAGTTAATTCTTATATGGAATTTTTGGATTATAACATCTCATATACTTAATTTTGGTTTGCAGGAACATGAGGGTTATCCATCTGGATCAATGGTTGATTTTGCCTGTGATCATGATGGTTCACCAGTGCTAGCAGTCAGCAGTCTTGCAGTTCATTCAAAGGTCTGATTTATAATTAACTGTGGTTAACATAATTTTCTTTCCTTTTTTCCTTTTTTTTTTCTTTTTCTATAACAAAGCTTTCGGCACTATTTTCTGCTGGTTTGCAAATGAATGATGCAGTTTCATTTGTTTTGAAAAAAATCTATTGGTATTTTCAGAATTTGTTGGTGAATCCCAAATGCTCTCTGCTTGTTAGTAAGGATCCTGAAGATCGAGCAGACATTGTGATTACGTTATATGGGGATGCTGTTCCAGTATGCACTGACAAGTTGAGCTTGTATCAGTTCTATAACTACTTGTGGATAATGCTTGCATCATTGAAGGCTTCTTTGGATCAATTTTGTTTTTTGTTTTGTTTTTAAAAACATGTATATCTAGCATGTTTTCTACATATATATATTTTTATTTCTAAAATGAAATAACTTATTTTTAAAAATACTAAAACAAATTATAAGTATTTTGAGTATTTTTAATAATAGTCATATCTTAATCAAATAGTTAAACATGTTTTATTTCATACAAAACAAAAAAAAAAAAAGAAAAACAAAAGTAATCCCAAACGGCCCATAAGTCGCTCATTCAGTTTTTTTTTTTCCTATCAATTAAAGAACATTGTCAGGTTCCATAGCTCATTGTACACAGTTGTTTTTTATGCTAATTGCTTGTTGATAGTCTGATGGCCATGATTGTAGCTAGACTGATTTTGGTGCTGTATCTTTTAGACTTGTAAATCCTGACAGAGTGGCATTGAAGTTGTTTTGATCTTTTGTAGCATGCCACCTGCTCATTTAGTTTTCATAGGAAGCCTTGTATGTTTGTTGAATATTGATTGAAAAAAGTCACTTGTTGGGTCTGTTTGCGAAAAAATGTTTATTGTGGCATAGAATGTGTAGATGAACAAAGCAAGTATAAGATGGCACAATAAAATTTTATTACCTGGGAAGTTTTGGCATCTTCACATGATTGAAGAAATTAATTTCTATGAAATTTTGGGTATTTTCACAGTTAACGGAGTTTAGAAAAAGGAAGCATAGAAGAGCCTAAAAAATATTCATTGCTCTCTTTGCCCACTTTTTTTATTCGATTCTCTTCATTTGCTTTACTTCTAGGGATGCTTTTAATGCCATGGAGTTGATTCTAGATTTCTTGAATCTTTGACACCTGAACCTTAGCTTTGATCATTCAAGATTATTGTGTCCATTGAAGCTTAATTTGGTTGTACATTACTTCCGTGTTGCTGAAAATTACAACTGATAAGATTTTTTTGGTCATTGTTTTCACAACTTGAAATCGAGCTTTTTCCAATTTGTTGTCTTGCTATTATGGCCCCAAAAAACTGAACGCTTGCCTTGTTACAAGCTTTTCAAATTTCCATAATTATGTGACTATTACATTTAGAACCCGATTCTATCGATGGACAGCATATGGGACAAAGAGTGTTACTTCTGGGATAAAAGTTCTGTTCATATTCAGAATAGAAACCTCGAAGAATATGATTTCCACTAGAAATATGTTTTGCTGCAAAGCCTCTTTGGCGAGAAAATTTTAGTTTTTTTCTTCACAATAGAATGGTTCATATATCTAGTATATTTGATTGAACTTATCCTGTCTTAGGTTCCTGAGGATGATAGAGAGGCTGCACGCACTGTTTTTCTTCAAAGGCATCCTAATGCTTTTTGGGTAACTCTTTATTCACTGATCATTGCACAAGTAAAGTTGTCCTTTTTGCATGATAATTCTTAGTGATGTCAAGAACTCTGATTTTGAAGGTTGATTTTGGTGACTTCCGCTTTATACAAATCAAGCCTAAATTTGTACATTATGTTTCTGGGGTTGCTACTGCTTTGCTGGGATCAGGAGGTAACATAATATCTGCATGCCATAAAAATTTTTCTTTTATAGTTCAGGTGTAGCTTAACAATTAACTATATAATTACTATCATTTGGAGGATTAAGAAACTAAATTAGCTTATCTTTTGAGAGAGAAGCTAATTTTGAGACCGTGGCCTGTTGGAGTAACAAACATCAAGAAGAAACGAGAAGTATGTGGAAACTATGGGGCTGGACATTTTCTTTTTCTGAGATAGAGCTTTTTTTGTGTTTTTTTTTAATCTTAATTTTTTATTTCTTAAACTCATGTATTGTTTCCTGAAACTTCAGTCAGGGAGGGTGCTTTCTAAGTGTTATTAAACAATTTAAAGATTGAACTTCCATAAATAGTTTTGAGTCAGGATAACCAGACATATCATCAGCCATAACCATCATAATTGTTAGCCTTATCCCAACGCTACGTGGCTGGCTTTATCGAGCTTCTATGTTCGACATTCATGTTGAGTGTTACATGAGATATTAACATACTTCTTACAATCTTCTTCTAGTCATTCCTCATATATTTTTTCTTTTAATTATGTATTTAAAAATAATATAAATTGATGGTTAAAGAAGGATAATTCATAGCCAAAATCAATTTTAGAAGTCCTTAATTTCCTTGGTCATAAAGCTCCTCTATCTAGACAAATTGGATTTTAGATTTGCATTTGTTGTTTAGATCATCTTCTTCCGGACAGTTGCTAACAGCTAACTTCAGTAGTATTGATGCTTTTAATGTACATTCTTTTAGCTAATTTTCAATTTTCATCAATTACATTCTTCATCGTAAATCTTGATATCGCCTATTGTAACCATTCCGTTTTTCTTATAAATCATGAAATGATTACATAGATTAGTCAAATATTTATTCTTTCATGGGGATTTGCATTACTTGAAGATTATGTGTATAGCTGTAATGTTCTCACATGGATTTCAATGCAAGGTTCTGTTTGACATCATGGAGTTTGAATACTCTTTTTTTCTCCCTTAAATACCTCTACAAAATATCCTCTTGATATTCTTTGCAAGCCCACCCTTGCATTTTATTTCTAGTTACTGACTGCTGTCTTGACTTTGTGCCAGACTTTAATGCTGTAGAGTTCAGAGCTGCCAAAGTTGATCCAATATCTCAGTTTTCAGTTCCCATATCTGTATGAACTAATTTTGACAACCGTTTATGGATTCATTTTATATGCATTTTTTTTTTTACTTTTTAGCATATATTTATTTTTATTGCAGTCTCATATGAATAAAGATCATGCTGAAGATACAAAAGCAATGGTACAGCATTCTACATCCATTAAGGCGAGCATCTATCATTGTTATTTATATAGTGAATTTAACGTAGAAGAAATAAATCCAATAAGGTCATTTACAGTATGTTTTTAAAAATGAGGCTGTTCTCATTTTTTCAGTATTCGGTGATCTGTTTATTTCTTAGGGCTCTGCTTGTAAGCTCCTATCCTTGAAATCTATATTTGAATCATCAGCTTTAGAAAGCACTGTCGTAGAGCAATATAATATTCTTATTCAGATTAAAGATCAGTTTTGGTTATTCTATAAATCAATACATGATTTATCTTCATATATATTGCATGAAGTGCTACTGATCCTTTAAATTGTTTTTATGATATATTTTTTCCCTTGAAAAATCCATGGTTTTTCAATCAATCACCCCAGGTCTGATTAGAAGAAATCATTTTCAGGTGGACTCTGCTTACATTCTGGATGTGGATAGTATTGGTTTCAACGTTAAGGTGGTGCTTGCTCTCAGTCTATAGTTTCTAATTTTGCTATTTGATGACGGTAATCGATAATATTCTTGAACTTGATAGAGACAAGAAATTTAAGCATAAATTGCTGCTTAAACTTGATGTGTGGGCGAGCAAAATAAAATTACCAACATATAGCTGTTTATCCTTGAAATTTATATGCCTTTTGGGGGTTATTTTTTTTGGTGTAGTTTATGTAATTTATGTATGCCAAACAATTGTTTAGCTGAACTTGTCACGGAGAAGGCCAATTTTGAGTACGGCAAATGTCTCTATCATTGTACATGCCTCATTTATCTTGTTTTCTGAAAGTCAGCCCATTTGAACACACTGCTTGCACTTCATCACAACTGAATTTCTACCATTTTGCCAGCTATTTTTACTACTGTTCCTTGTATATATTTTGAAGATAATTTTGTTTTGTCAATATTGGTTTACGTTTCCTCGATTATAATGTATGAAAACTCTATTTAAACAACACTCTTCCTTATCAATGAGTGTAAGTCATTCATTTGGAAAAACTGTTCCTGTAACTCAAATTGTAATCAGGGAACTACAATTTTAAGTTATATCCTTGTTAAGTTTTTCTTATCCTGGTCTTCCAGGCCTGCTTTTGATCTTCTATGGATTCAGAGGTTTGCTTTTTTATTTTCCTTGTTCTTGAAATTAATTTCTTAATTTTTTTCTTAGCAAATAGTTTGAACTTTGCATTCTGATGCACTCACTCCCAAGCAGTATTTTGTATTAAGTCAACCTTTTTATGATGGCATTACTAAACCACGGATATCAAATTGTTATTTTTGTTTATCACTACAAATAATCACAAAAAATTCTAAGATGGTTTGATGCCGACTCTTCTGCTGGGCATTATATCAGCAGCTTTTGTAGTTACATGTCTTAACTAAATTTTTATTGTTTTACTTGATAAGGATTTCTTAAAATTTCCATGTGCACCATATATACAGTAGCTCATGGGTGTTTCATTGTTTTTTGGTGATGCAGAAACAACTTGCTATCTTTTCCCTAATATAAAATTCTGCATTTTAATCTGCCACTTAAGTTGTGCTCTAATCATTTACGTGACATCATCTAAATTATTATTTTCAATCATCTTTCTTCGAGCTGAAAGATTAAGACATGAAATGAAGATATGTGCCTATTTTAATTTCCATTCAGTTATGAAGATGCATGCACATGGTTAACAAAATAAATTTCCCAACCATGCATGGACGTGGTCACCTTATATAGTCTTTGTTGCTTGCCCCAACTTCAATTGGACATGCACATTTTTGTGACAGTTTAACTGTGTATATTAGTTGATTAAATGAGTTAGATGTACAAAGGAGACTTTCAATTCAATTTTTTATTTTTCTTTTATTTTTTTGTTAAAGCGGAAGTATTCTTATTTGATAAGCTACTAATCTTTTTTTTAATTTCTTTTATTGTTATGATAGAAATTATTCTTGGTTGGTGAACAACAAAGTAAACATTAATTTCAAATTTTTTATTATTGAGCTATTAATTGAATGCTTTATTATAATAGAATAGTTGAATGACATCTGAAATAGGATCTTTTGCCAGTGGCAACTATTTCATGGAGTATGTATATAAATTTTTGTCATCGCATGTTATAAAATTAGAACCAAGAGGAAAATATACAATTTCAATTTCAATTTTATCATGTAAAGTGTAAGGAAAACTATTCCAAGGTGAGCTCGCTAGCTCAGCCAGCTTGTGCGAGGCACTCTTTTGTGAAGCTAATAGTGGAATGTTAAGAGTTATTGATACAACTAAACATTTTCTGTACTGTGTATAACATATGAGATTGTATGATGGAAACGGTGAAATGGATAATATGCCGACATGCAGGAAAAAAAGTAATGCTGTATCCATCTTTTATAACGTGCGTATGATAATTCTTATGATATGATTAAACAAAAGCAATGGTCCCCTTCCTGTCTTAGCCCACTTTCTTTTGCCGAGGTAATCTTTGAAATTTTAATTAATATGATCTTATCCCACTTCAAAATTATTAATCTCACTTATTAGATGCATTTTTTTTCTTAGGCTTTATAGTCATGCTAGATAAATGAAGCTCTGAATCATGTCGCCTCATATAAAATTATAGAGATATCAAATGTGAAGAATAAATATTTATTTATTTTTTCAAATATTGAAGATAGATCAGTGGTTAATTTGAAGTTGTTTTATTATTATTTATTATTTGAATGGTGAGCGGTGAATCTCAAATTGTGAGGCTCAAATCCACAACGTGATGAAACAACTTTTTCTAACTACTAGCTTGTGGGTCATTTCACTACTTCTTTGGACTTGGTGTTGTTTTTGTCAATCATTATCCTATGGGATTTAATGATATTATAGTTGGATTTTTTTTGTGATTTATTGGGTTAATTTTCCATGATTTATAAGTTTGGCTTCTAAATTCCATGATTTCTAAGTTTGGCTTCTAAATTTTTAATGCAATCACGCTCCAATCATTTTCATGAAAGAAATTGGAATGCATAGTCGTTTTTCCATTCAGTCATAAGGAGAAACATCTCAGCAAGGTGAAAAATTGATAGTAAAGACAAATCCTTTTTCTTTTTATTTAGAAGAAACTGATAATATCCTCAGAGAAATTATGTTGTGAGGCATTGGTATAGATGTATTAACTATAATGGGTGAAATTTTGATGCTTGAAATTGTCGTTCTTGCTCTTGATGAGCTAACTTTGGAAACTATTTTTTTTTAGCTAATGGTGAAGGTACAATTGAAGAAAGCATGTGTGCTAGATGATCATAAAATTGAGCTTGTCAACTCCTATTAATTATGCATCATAAATATGCTCATATAGTCATATGTTATCTGCTTATTTTGAAGTGAACATTAGTATTACTCTTTCTAGAATTTTGACATTTTGTAAGCAATGTTAATATTGGTATGCTGTTTACAAATGACAATTTTCACACGTGATATATCATTTGTTAATTCTTAGTAGTTATGTTCTTTTGCTATTATTAAGCTTTTTATATGAAGTATATCTATATGATCTATGCTTCACCATATGTGTCTTTAGTAGAAAGTACTACTAGTGTTTTAATTGCAGTTTTACAATAATAATTTATGAAATTGAACATTATGTAAAGGACATGTTTTGTCTTTTAATATTATATTGAGCGTCATATTCATAGCTGCTTGTGTTCATGTCCGTATTCATACTTCATAGGTAATACTGATACTAACAAAATCGTTAGTGGGCTTTGGCAATGCTTTGGTGTTGGTTCTGTGGTGTTCATATCTATGCAAGCTTTGTTCTATGATTTTAGAACTGATCCTCATGTGATTAATAGCTGATTAAGTATATAAAATGATCATAAACAGCTATGTGAGGTATGTAAACTTATTTTAAATATCTTGTACGTGGCTTGTTAATATTCTTAATTTCATTTAAATTTAAGATAATAAAATTCTTATTGTTGTGGAAAAAAGAAATTGCTTACTAGTTTTCATTATTTGAATTTCTCATTAGTTTCATTTGATTTGATTGATTTTGACATGATTGTTTTAATTTTGATTATTGTATTTTTTGTTTTGCACTTAAAGAAAGTAAGTTTTGTTTTTTTAGATTTCATAAATAAGCTCTTCTGCATGAAATTGACATCAGAGGTTATGGTTATGTCAACTAAAGTAGGATATTTAACTCGATCAAATGCAATTTAAACGAATAGTTAATTTATGGTTCTAGCCAACAACAATATAGTCGTGAAGTTCAAAATTGCATTCCTACATTAGAGAGGAGGTCTAATCTTGGGGGATTTGTAATGCTGTGCAAGGATTTATAAAACTTATTTGAACTTGCCGTTTATTTTATTCCTAAATAAATGAATATTTTGAAATATTTAATTAATTTTAATTATTTTGTCCCAATTTTGCAGGTGAAACTAAAACAACAGCGTCTAGCATGAAACATATACTTAAAGAAAAATAGACATCATTTGACGAATATAAAAATAAATTATATAATAAATTTAAAAGTTGTAGACAAATAAATCTAGTGTATTTGAATGCCTTGTAAGGTTTGTATGTATTGTAGCTACATTTGATTTTCTCCACGCTTTTTTTATTCCAAGGAATGAACAAACTACGAATCTCCAAGAAGTATTGTGCGAGGCTTTGTTTAGATCTTTGAATTTTTAGGCATGTTATAATTATCCTCTTAAGAGTAAAACGCCTACAATTCATGTTTTTAATGAATAATCAATTTCTTCTCCTCTGAAGCTTATCACATATGCACAAACAAAATGATTCATTTGTAATTAAATATTATTTTATTGAGAATAATATAACTCACGAAGACATATTTGTTTTATTGATTTCACACCAGGCTGTTTATCGAGGGAGCACTTACAAGCTAAGAATTCCTTTCCCTAGACGCGCTCAAGATAGAAAGTAAGACAGTTGAGATCATTAATTACAATATTTGTTCTCTTTGCTTTAATTTTTTTCACCTTCCTTTCTGTCCTAGAGCTTCTATTGGATCCACTTTCATCTTTATGCGCTCAAGAAAAGAATTGAGCGCTATGTATGTTGATCTTCTATTTCATTTTTATATTCTACAGGGATGTGAAGACTCTTATTATAGAGATGCTCCAGGCTGCTGGAGCTACTGCGTAAACATCGCAAACACTGATTTCAGGTAATGAAGATCTTGTGTAGAACAAATTTCACCATATTATCCCCAGTATTTAATCATAAAGTGCACTTAATATTTGAACGCTGGGTTTTGCATTTATTTGCGCTTGTTGTAATTTTTGAAAGGTTTTAATCACAAAATTGGAATCGCCGTCTGCTTTTCTCCCTCTTTGGTAAATAAGCATGTCATAGACAAGTGTTCATTTCTCTATTTAATTTGATAATAATTATAAAATGTGTAAATTGCTAAAATAGTTTTCTCACTATTTATATGGGTTCATTTTGGTAGTACCGAGACTTTTTTTTTAATATGTGGGACTATTTTAGGCCTCTTTTGACTGTTAACACACACACACACACACACACACACACACACACACACACACAACGACCCAATTTTTTTTTTCCTCTGCCTCGAGTTCTAGGATAAGATGAGCCCCATTGCCAGTAGTAACCAATGTATCATCCAATAAGTTTCCGAGTTCGAGTCAGCCTCCATTCTTCTTCTTTCTCTTGGAATAGACCTGTCATTCTTCATCCAAAGATTGACTCACCTGATCAGTGAAATGGTTTAAAGTGTGTCAGACATGTGTAGGTTGTTGAACATTAAAAGCAGTCACTTGTAGTACCGACTGATCTTTTATTGGATCAAATGAGTACTCTCGTGTGTCTTGGCATGTAAATGAGTTTTCTTCAATAACAGTGGGTGTTATAAGCGTGTTTGGATTTGTACGGGTAGTATGATGTTCTTCATCAAGAACTGTAGTGTCGGAAAGAGGATCGGATTGCACCTTCGCAGTAGGGTTGGTAGGTGGCTGATCTTTAGCGATATCCGACCTTACATACTATTTCCTACGACTGGTTTTTTCGACTTTTTAAGTACTGGATGCTTCTGTTTATTTTCCTTCAATATATTGAAATCCTTTGCAAATATACTATGTTTTATGATGCTAATCATGCAGCGGTAGCAGAGGCCCAGGCACGCTTTTATGTTTTATCTAAATATAATTTTATTTATTTACTTTATAGTATTTTTCTTACATGCATTTATTTACTTTACCTGCCAAACATGTAATAAAATTGAAAAATCACAAAAAAACATGTTTTCAAAATTAAATAATATTTTTCAAAACAAAGACAATAAAGCAATAATTTCATAATACGTACTTTTGAATTTACGAAAGTTCGTCGGTTGAGGTAACCCACGGTTGCTAACGAGTTCGCCTCTAGTTTAAATGAGCTTAACAACTCGTTTAGACTAAGTAAATTACAAAGAAAATAGTGGTACCGGAACGAGGGAACCGTGAGATCCTAACCGGTATCGCTCTAATTAACTTTATCTGACCAAACATACTACAATGAGAACAATAAGGAGGGTGTGATTTTATTTCAACATTTTGCCAATACTCGTTGTGAGTGGTTTCAATCGATATCTCATCCGGAACTGGTTGAGTGATATCTCTCTCAACTAACACACAAACCACATAGGGTCTGGTGACAACAAGCATAGGACTATCGACCTTGAGAGGCTTACCGTAAACAGTTGCTAAGGAGTAGAGAATTTCCAAGTTGAACAGGTATAATTTTAACCCCAGAAACTTTATCCAAATAAGAATGACAGGAGACTCCGCTTTTGGATCAAAATCGACAGTTCACTTTAGAATTTTCATAAAACGGTTGTCGATCTTGATAACTTTTCGAGAAAAAATGCGAGTGTAATCGACATCGTGAGATAACTGAATAAGTATATAAACATCGTGAGATAACTGAATAAGTATATATCGACCGTCAAGTAAACTCAACTGCTCAACAACTTCATAGTATCATAATCTTTCTGAATGATCTCAAGTTTTGGATGATCATAAAGGAATTTCCCCAGTAGAGCAAAACACGAAAAAGAAGCAAAAGTACTGGTTTCAATCTCTGTGAGAATAAGATCAGACTTCCCATTTTTTTTACCAAGCTTTTAATGAAGGTGTGATCACCACCATCTTTAAAAGCCTCGTGAAAAGATTGTGGAATATTGCAGGACTTGCCAATACGAAAACCAGGCTCTGAACTTGAAAGAGGAGCACAAATAGGAATAGGAAAGTCGTTGGCAAGTGCAGTGACATAGGAACAGATCGTCAATGCTAGCACGCAGCCAGGTGAGCCGCTAGAAAAAGTGATCCTGTCGTTGCCTTCTCGGTAAGCAGTAATCGCGACTGTCTTGCGAGAAGTTCGGGTAGGCGAGGTTTTCGGCGCAGCAAAGCGTCGTTACAGAGAGGGACAGGCGATGGTTTCTGTGTAGCAAGGCGTTGAGGCTTGCCGGTGGAGAGTTTATGTACGCCTGTGATCCTGTCGTTACTGAAGGAAAGAAGTTTCGAAGGCCCTCGGTTGTCGTGATTTCATCGGTTCTTCTCGATTACCTCTGGCATTGCTCTAAGGCATTGCGACGGCTCGCCCATATATATAGGAGGAGAAATAAGAAAGAGTTATATTAAATAAAATTAAAGAAGTTTCGAACCCAATTCTACTCTATTACTATCATAAGAATGAAGGGGTAATCTGATTCATTTGCACGGTCTCTTGTTCCACTTCTTTCTCTCGTTAGTTCTGTCACCGTACTATGAGGATCCAAGACTTTTAGAGAAGAAGATGAAGTCTCTTATACTCAGAGTGACATGGGAGTGTGCCGTCAGGCTGGACCAGGAAGTGACAGCTCTGTATCATGGCAACTAATGTGAGAAAATTCCCGTCAACTACTGGACCAACAACCTTTTAGAATCTGTTTGGGGCAGCTGCAACTTATTCAGCTTATCCAGATAAGCTGCTTATTCTGATAAGCTGCTGATAAACAACTAATCTGGATAAGCTATCTAACTGTTTGGTTTGTGCGTTTGGAAAACAGCTGATTCTGGATAAATGAATTTTGCCATTGTGCTAGTTAAACTGTTTAACTGTTTGGTATGTGAATTTGGAAAATAGCTGATTTGCAGCTTTTTGTAGGTAAAAGACCATTTTGACAGGCACAATGTTGCTTCTTACACTAGAAGTTTAACTGCTACACATCTGATAGTTGAGAAAAAAAAATATCATTTCATAACAGTACAAAATTATGATAACGGAAAAAAAAAAACAATTTCATAATGGTACAAAATTTCATAATAATATAAGATTTTGATACTTCACTTAAGATAGAGTTCAAGATACTAAATTAAAACCAAAATACATATTGAAACTTCAACTAATAATAAACATAACATTCAATTTGAAATGCAAAATTAACATATCATGAGGACCGTTGTTCGGTTGGTGCACGAACGAACCCTGAGCGATAATATGCGATTGGGTAACAGTTGAACCACAAGAGATGTTCTATAACTCATTAAAATTTATATCCAAGTCAAAACTCAAAAGTAAAAACACCAAATTCTTAATGTTGTGCGCCTAAAACAATCCAGGGAAATATCGTCATTTCCATTGCAAAAAAATATTGACCTAAGGCAAGTAAAACGGTTTAAATTGAAAGATAAAGTGACATAATATGCACTAGTAGAGTATCACTGATTCTGCGAGATAGCCCAGTTGCCGCAAGATCCCAACTAGGCCTTATTCTAAGCAGTTAACAACTCCAAATATAATATATATGTAAATAATAACCAGCAAACAGTGGCTTCTGAGTTATTATCCTTTAAAAGAATGAACAGTGAAATTAAAAATAAAATGTTTTCCTGTGAAATCAACTGGAACAGGAATGTAATCCTTCGCATTATAACATCCTAATAACGAGCCTTCCATCAAACTCAGGTATGAAAGTTTCTTATTGTTAAGGCTGGCAGGAATGGTTTGAACATGATTTAAGCAGTACTTAAGCTAAATCCAGCTAAAAAGCAAAAAGGCAACCTTAAATCCTACAGGTTCTTAAAACCAGTTTTGCTCCGTTTTTCCTTAAATCCAGGATTTAGTTAACCCCGCTGGAAGACGAATTTACCGGATTTAAAGAAGCTGAAGATCGCGAAGGCGGGTGGGAAGACGGGGGAGAGAGACGAGGGTTACCTTCCTTGGTTCCGAGTAGAAGCGGAACGGAAGGAAGAGAAATATGAGAGTTTCGGACGTTTTCGTACACAACGATCCCGTCGTTGCCTTCCCAGCTAGCTTTGATACCAACGACGACGGATATGGGTAACGTCGAATGACGGCAGTTCTCAAGGAGGTCGCCGGATATGGGTAACAACAAGCTCCCCGTGTACTCCTCTGGTGAAGTGAAGCTGGGGGACCGCGAAGTTGATTTTGGCCGCTAGGGAGAAGATACGAGGAGACGAGACGAGGGCAGCTGGGTAAAGTCACGAACGAAAACGCGGCGGGCCGCGGGGTTGACCCCGCTGGCTTTTATTAAGAAATAAAATACCCTGTTTTCAAAATGCAGTCTAAAAGCATTAACTAAATAGGAAGGCGGCGTTTTGAAAACGCCGCCCACACTTATAAGCTGTCCCAAACGGGGCCTTAATTAGAGTTTAGTTTGTGTCTTAGTATAAATATGTTACTATTGACCTGATTTAAGACTTTTGAGATTCGACTCATGCAATAGAGACTTGTCGGAGTATTGTATCCTTGATCTTTCTCATATGCTCATGTAACCTGGTTGCATCTATGTGGTGATATTTCCTAGACATCTGGAAACCTTCTATGCTGTCGGTTTTATTACGGTTGTTTTCTTATTATGATTTATCATCCGACCGCTGAGTGCACCAAATTCTCAAATGCCATCATCTTTCACCCCTCCATTCTCATCTTATAATTTGTCCAACCCTCTACTGATCTCTTGACACCATCTAATAATTCTAATGTTGTTTCCGCACGCGCGCGCGCGCGCACACAGATATATATATAGAGGCTTTAGGGTCAATTTATTTTGTGCTGAAGAATTTTCTTGTGGTAAATGCAGGGTGCATCGGAGTTATGCAAAAGTTTAAGTTGGCCAAAGCTCGGTGAACCACACTTTTTCTTTGATGATGAAATAAAAATCCAAAGTGCAGGTTTTGGAAGTGTAAAGTGCATGGAAAAGCTTATTATAGAGCAACACACAAATTATATAAAAAAAATGTGGCAAAAATTAATTGCATTTTATGTAACTATTATAATCTAACGCCACGATCAGCAAATTCTTTAAGCACATTTTATCAGAAGTGCTGAGTAACGTTTTCTCCTTATTGAAGGTTTTAAAAGACCTTTGTAGATGTTCGGTTTAGGTGCTTTTGGTTGACTGAAATAGTGGTGCACTTAACTTTATTTTGTAGGGATTTCAGAAAATTATTTGTTTGGTATGATAATTTACTAATATCATTAGTAAAGTTTAATGAATTTGAAGTATACAGTGTAGTTCTTGTTTAAATGAATTTAGAATTAGGCCGATTTGACTGAATTTGAAGCACATTATTCATGTAAAATTTTATAGGCAAGTCGCCACATACCGTTGTTGCTTATTCACCCACCGGCCGTTGTCACCATAGCCTGCTAGCATTGGTTGCCCGACACGGACCTTTGTCAAGCCGTTGAAGCCACCCAACTTTGATAGTCTTTACTGTCATTTGCAGTCACCGTTGACTGCAACCAATCACCATCTGTAGCACGCCTCAGGCCCAATCCTCCACAACCATTCTTGCCACAACCCACCACAGTAGCCGACCGCCGCCATCTCCGTCAGCTGCCCGTCGCCGTCGTCAGCCTTTATCGTCGGTTGCCGTCGTCTGCTGCCAGCCGCCCTTTGTTTATGTAAATATATTATTTTAATCTACTTCAAATCAAATAAAAAAAATATGAAGTTCTAAATTTATTTTGCGGTGAACAAAATATTTAAAAATATTTTAAATATACTGTATTCATATTATTCTATTTGGGCATAAATGAATAAGTTTAATTTGCGAGGATTTATCTAATTGACACTCCATTAGAAATAATTATTATGTCAAATTTCATATAAAACTATTTGATAAAATTTTATTGAAATTTGGGAAATTTACATACATACAATGTAATTCTTCTTTATTTACATAAGTAACACCTAAAGTTTGATATTTACACTTGTAACATTTTAGTGGCTTGGTGTCATAAATTTATATATGAAAAATGTGTATTTCGCTTATTTTTTAATTATATTAAAATGATTAATATTATTAATGTAAATATGAAAAGTTTGGGGCATTCAATATGCAAATACATAAGAATTGTGTTAAAATTATGAATGGTGGTTAATAAATGGTATTGATTATGCTACAATTTTATTAAATGAAGAAAATGTGGTGGTATTAATTCATAATTATAGTATAGTATTTAAATCTCAATTAGACTTTAATGTATGAAATAAAAGGGCATTTATGTACATACAACCCAATTCTTATGTATTTACATACTCCCACCTAAATTCGCTTTTATAATTTTCTGATATGATACAAGAAAATTATTATTTTATTTTTTAAAAAGTAAAATATAGATTTTAATGCATAGATAAGATAAATAGAATGAGTGTGTAGTAACTCGGTCTATTGGTTGGCCTCCTCGGTGAATGACCCTTCATCGCGGAAAATATTACATTCGGATGAACTACATTTGAATTATTTGCAGACTGTAGCATTGAAGTATTATCAAGTAATATTACAATGTTATTTCGGTAAAATAACACCACAATACAACAATGACATTTAAATACTACCTCCACACATGCAACTGTGGCAGGAGTCATGATGTATTATTTTCTCCAGGTTGGGGGTTCAAATCCTCTCTGGCACAGATAACCTTATGGAGGTGGTACTCGAATTATTAGACATATTAAGAGTGGCTTGAGTGATAATAGCCTCTCACCGATCCTAATAAATAAATAAATAAATAAATAAATAGGAACGAGTGGAATGTATGTAAATCCTTATAAATTAAATTAACAATAAATTATTTAAAATCTATACAATAGGATGCAAGTAGGGGTGTAAACGAATCGAACACTAACGAGCAGAGCTTGTGTTCGTGTTCGGTTCGTTTGAAATTTAGTTTGTTTAAAATAAGCACGTGTTCAAAATTGTTCGTGAAGTCACTGTTCATGTTCGTTTCTTAACGAACGAGTCGAACACAGCTGTTCGCGAACGACGAGCCAGTTTGACATCCCTAATCATAATATATATAAATAATATATTATATTAATTATATAACTTATATTATATAAATATATAATATCTATATTAGTATATTACTAATATAGTATATTAATATATAATTATTATTAATTTATTATATTATAATTTATAAAAATTTAATTTTTTAAAATATCATAAATTATATATATATATATAATTATTCTAAATTATTTCATATTTCGAACAATAATAATTCGAACACGAATGAACGCATCACTATTCATATTTAACACGTTTAATTAACCGAATAAAAAAAATTATTGATGTTCTTTTCATTTATTTATCGAACTAATTGATAGCTTTTTTGACAGCTCAGAGGCAAGGGATAAAAAAATATATCTGTAGCCGACCCCACTAAAACAAAAAGCATTGGATAAAGCTTGTATTTTAATAAAAAAAATCATGTTCCGCATATGTCACATTGGTCGCGCTTGGAAGGGAGATGCAGCCGTGCTGCCTAGTTTGCCGGGCCTCTACCGACGGTGGCGGAGCCCTAGGTGTCGGCCTCGTCTTTCTCTCGATACCGGCGAGAAAACCCCTATATTTCTCTTGGATCGGTTTCGGCCTTAGATACTGCGATCGTCTCAGCCGCGGTGCAGGGCCTGTTGTTGCCGCGGTCGCCGAGTCTAGTGGCGGAGCGGATCAGGACCACTACTCCGTGCTCGGTATCCGCCGTAACGCCACAATGGCCGAAATCAAGCATGCTTATCGGTTGCTTGCTAGAGAGGTATCGTTTCCTTCTCCAAGTAGTACGGTTTTACGTCAGTGATGAAAAATTTGGCTGTTCGTGTGGGGTTTGTTGATGTTTATCAGTGATATGAATGCTATAAGTTTTAGCATAGAACTTTTGTAGCCAGGAAATGGAATACTTGTAGAACAAAAGCTAGAATGACGTGAAAGCAGGTGAGATTCGTCCCTTCTTTTAGGGCAGAGAGCTTCCAATTATCTCATTTGTTGACCAAGGAATTCATATTTGGCATTATAAAAATCTTAGAAATCTAAGTTGGTCCCCTCAGTTTTGAATAAATGATTTCCTTCTTTATCTCAGTGATATGTTTTTTTTTTCATTATAGTATTGAATCTTTTTTCCCATCTAATTTAAATTTGACCTGCTTTCCTCATATTATGTCATTTGCACTACAGAGATGTCCCCTAGAGTTCACTAACTCGAAAGACTAAACATGAACATTGCTTTGATCTAGCCGCCAATCAAAAGATGTGGTGGTAAGACTAATAGAAAGGTCGTTGAAGTACATGAGAGGGAGATCTTTTGACTTTATCACATCAACTTAACATTTGAGTGCTTTTTTTCTTATAATGAACTTGTTTTCATATTGAAATATGTATTTGCAAGATGATTAGTTCTCCCATTGATGAACCAGTAATGCTTGATCTTGGATCATTTTCGTTTGTTTTGATTTGTATTGGCATTAGGTTTAAGGGCTTTGCTTTTTTTTGTTTCACTTTACTATGGCGATGGTTAGGCATAATGTTGTTGAGTAGGTGGAGCCCAGTCCACATACTGCTTTGGCGGTTTGCTTTTATGGAAATCATTTGATAAATTGATTCTAATTTATCTGCTCTTAATTTATTTCATAAGCTTCTCGTGCCTTTCATATAAGAATCCCGTTAGAAGTTCTTCCCAATTTGGAATCCCGCGTCTTTACTTTCTAAGCTTTTCCCGCCTCTGTTATTTGGCAAATTAATCATTGCTTTTATGAGGTAGAAAAGGAGAATTAATTTATGCTTCCCTTTTATGGCATTTGCTGAAGCAACAAGCGCGAAACAAAGAAAAAGGAATCCTGCTCTTTCCTATGGAGGTTCCACCATCTTTTCCAAGCAAAAGATAATTGGCTTTAAATAGTTTAAGCAGCAGGTTCTTCAATATAGCTTCTTCACGTTTTCTATGCTTATGGGTGTGGCTTCTCCTTTAGCATTTTGGGTTTACGGTGGAGAAAAAGATTCAAAAAGCTTGCTACTCATCCAAATCTACTTCGGTTGTATATCTCTTAGGTGGAGAGATAGAGAGAGAAGGGGAGGAGAGAGAGGGAGAGAGACAGAAAGAGAGTTTTTCTTCGAGTTGATTGACGGTGTAAACCCTCGAAGCTAATAAAATCCTCTACAGCTCCGTGGACGTAGGCAATTTGCCGAACCACATAAATCTGTGTGCTTTCGCTATGGTTTTCTGTTTAGCGTTTTTCCCGATCTGATTTTTCGCTTTATTGCTGTCGTTTTTCACAACAACTGGTATCAGAGATTTGGTTCAGATCTAAGAAAGAATAATGGGTGGAGACGAAGTGATGACATCGGGGATCGAGAAGTTCAATGACATAAATTTTAGTTACTGGAGGATGCAAATAGAGGAATACTTCTATAGAAAGAAACTTTATCTGCCATTGCTGGGAAAGAAGCCGGAAAAGATGACGAGGCGGAATAAAATCTGTTAGATCGACAGATTCTGGGGGTTATTCGATTGACCCTGTCGAGATCCGTTGCCCACAATGTAATCAAGAAGAAGATTACCGCAGATCTCATGACGGTTTTATCAAGCATGTATGAAAAGCCATCGACGAATAACAAAGTGCACTTGATGAAAAAATTATTCAATTTGAAGATCACGGAATGTGTGTTCGTTGCTCTATACCTGAATGATTTTAACACTATCACAAATCAATTGTCGTATGTTGAAATTGATTTTGATGATAAAATACTTGCGCTGATATTGTTGGCTTCATTATCAAATGGCTGAGAAATCATGATTATGACAGTTAGCAGTTCTGCAGGTAAATCAAAACTTAAGTATGATGATATTCGTGACTTGATTTTGGCTGAGGATATGCGCAGGAAAGATTATGGCGGGACCTCGGGTTTGAGTTCGATATTGATTGTTGATTTCAGAGGGAGTAATATGACAGGACTGTTGGTCAACTTTTTGATTTGGAAAATAATTAAAATTTAATTTAATATAAGAGGTATATAATTTGGGTTTTGAAAGTAGTCTGTTTTAATTTTTGAAAAAAAAAGAGACCGAATAGATCTTATTAGTTCAATAATTTGCATAATCGTGTCCGACACCCTGAATACTATACATTCCAAGAGAAAAGTGTTGATCCCGGTAATGGACCCAATGCTGCAAATTAAGAAATTTGTGACATTCATTTGGTCTGTGAATCTTTTATGTGTGACCGACAAGTTTTCCTATCTAATACAAAGATTAAATAGATTTTATTTTACCTGGGTTCCAAGTTCTCTATAAAGACAAACCCCTATAGTTAATTACATCTCGAATGACTGGGGTCACTTGAGAAAACTCTCGATAATGATCAGAGGAACTAGTCTTCAAAATTTCAAAATTTAGGTTTTCACGGTAGGACGTGGAAAGATAAATGAGAGTGACTCAAATAGTAACAATTATTTCAGGAGTCTAAAAGAAGGAATATGTAGGGGATGTCACAGATCTTGAGAAGAAGCCTCAGTGACTTTCCAAACAATTCTACTGTGTGGCTGTGTTTTGGAGAAGATGTTATTTGAATGTTGAATCTCGTCAATTTTATTATTTAGGATTTACACTTGCATAATAACTGATTATACAAATTACCCGCAGAAATAAGAGGTTTTACGTCGTTCTGAACGACAACCTCAGAACCTAAGACGAGTTAGGACTTATGCTACACAACATGATTGTGCAGGGGCTTAAAAGAGGGTGAGGAATTACGTCGCGCTAGGCGAGCTACCTCGAAGTCCCATGTATTGTTTAAACTAGGAAAATTTAACTGGTGAAGACTTGTTTTGTTGTTGTAGAATGACGATCACCTCCACTTGTAGTCTGCTCCAAACTCCTTGCTGCGCTGCCCACGAAGTAGCTCCAAGCTCCTCGTCGAAGTAGCAGTCCTAAAGTCTAAAGTCCAAAAGGTTGTATCATGTATGTTTCAATGTCTCAGTTTTGTTGTCATTATGGGGGGTTAAAGTTGATTAGAACGATACCGGTTAGGATCCCACGGTTCCCTCGTTCCGGTATCACTATTTTTTTTTAAATTTACTTAGTCAAAATGAATTATGAAACCCATTTAAACCGGGGAGATCTCGTTAGCAACCGTGGGTTACCTCTTCCGAGGGACTCTCGTAAATTTGAAAGAACGTGTTATGTTTTATTTTTTTGCATTTTGAAAAGCATTTTGAAAATGAGTTGTTTAATTTTAAAAAAATTGTTTTGTTTTGAAAGTGAAATTGTATTCAGTATCTACATAATGTGTTAGAGCAAAATTAAATTGCAATGAAGAAATAACAACAAATAAAATATACCTGCGTATGTGGCGTATCTGCTGCTGCTATTCCTGTTGCATGTTTAACTCACAAAGCACAATATAATTTGTAGGGAATTTGAATAAATTACAGAGAAAAGAAGAAAAACAGTAAGCAATATAACAAGTCGTAGCAATATCTACAAACTCTAAACAGGCGATCCTAAGGTTTCCTACAACTTCTGACTGCAACTAGCGAGCTAGTACGGTGATCCTACGACCTCCTACGACTCCGAGAAGCAACTAGCAAGTGTGTACAGTGATCCTACGACTCCGGACAACAGTTGGAATTTCAAATAGTTACTGTATGGGTTCCTATGAACCCAAACAATGGTGGACAACGCCTATGTGACTTTCTAAGATTTCTTACAACTATTGACTGCAACTAGTGAGCTAGTACGTTGACCCTACGACCTCCTACGGCTCCGAGAAGCAACTAGCAAGTGTGTACGGTGATCCTACAACTCCGTACAACAGCTAGGAATATCAAATAGTACCTGTATGGGTTCCTATGAACCCAAACAACAATGGACAGCACCTATGCGGCTTCCTACGAACCTAAACAATGGTGGACAACGCCTATGTGGTTTCCTACGAACCCAAACACTAGTGGACAACACCTAGATGACTTCCTACGAACCCAAACAGTGGTAGACAACTTCTAGGTGACTTCCTACGAACCCAAACAGTGGTGGACGAAACCTAGATGACTTCTACGACACCGGGTAGTGGCTTTGGAGCCTCAGACAGCACCCTACAGCGCTCCTATACTCCAACAATGGCTTTGGATCTTTGGACAACAACCTGCAGTGTTCCTACACTCCAAACAGTGGCTTTGGAGCCTTGGACAACAACCTACAGCGTCTCTGCAGTCCAAATAGTGGATTTGGAGCTTTGGGCAGCACCCGATAGCACTCCTATACTCCAAACAGTGGCTTTGGAGCTTTAGACAGCAGTCTACAGCACTTCTACGACACCGGGCAGCGACTTGGAGCTTTGGGTGGTGGTCCAACAGCTTCCTACGATATCGGGCAGCGGCTAGGAGTATTGGACAACACCTTACAGCGTCCCTATACTCAAAACAAAGGCTTTGGAGCCTTGGACAGCATCTTACAACACTTCTATACTCCAAACAATGGCTTTGGAACCTTGGACAACACCCTACAACACTCCTATACTCCAAACAGTGGCTTTATGTAGACAGAATTTTACCCCCAAGTTCAGATAAAGAATGAAGAATCTACAAGCTTTCCATGAAAGTTATGGCCTTTCTATATAAGCAAGTAAAAGCCCAATGTAAGCCAGAAAATGAAACAATACCTGCAGCACCACTGATTTTAAGAAAAAGGAATAGAACATAGAGTATAATCAGGCCTGACCGTAACAATTTGCTAGGTTGCATGTCATTTCTTAATAGGATAAACAA